TACCATCATCTTAAAACTACCACCATCTTACAACAACCACAACTACCATCATCTTACAACTACCACCATCTTACAACAACCACAACTACCATCATCTTACAACCACCATCGACCAATCTACCACTGTACCAATTATATTATAACAAACAACTACCACCATCTTTTATCTCACAACAACTATCACTACTACCACCATCCACCAACCACAATCTTATTACCAGGACGACTAACGACCTCTAATGGTACTACCTGACACTTGCCTCACCTGGCCTACCTAATTACAGGTACGACCACCAACCATGACGAAACTTACATGTGTACGCAAATAAAACTATTATATGCACATACATACATACATGCATTATATTTACACGCACACAACATTTGATTATACATACACACGTAGACAATAATTTAAACATACAGAGGCTAATGGTTGAACCTCTTGTATGAGGATGGCCGGCCCAAGAGCCACCTACAGGCGTGAATTTGTTTAAGGTGTAGAAGCTGTCGCCAACACAACAACCACACCTTGAGTTAACGAGCTGCATGACCCGGTGTTTAAGGTGTAGAAGCTGTCGCCAACATAACAACCACACCCTGAGTTAACGAGCTGCATGACCCAATGTTTAAGGTGTAGAAGCTGTCGCCAACATAACAACCACACCCTGAGTTAACGAGCTGCATGACCCAATGTTTAAGGTGTAGAAGCTGTCGCCAACAAAGCTGCAACCAATCTTGAGTTAACGAGCTGCATGACGCAATGTTTAAGGTGTAGAAGCTGTCGCCAACACAACAACCACACCTTGAGTTAACGAGCTGCATGACCACGGTGTTTAAGGTGTAGAAGCTGTCGCCAACATAACAACCACACCCTAAGTTAACGAGCTGCATGACTCGGTGTTTAAGGTGTAGAAGCTGTCGCCAACATAACAACCACACCCTGAGTTAACGAGCTGCATGACCCAATGTTTAAGGTGTAGAAGCTGTCGCCAACAAAACAACCACACCCTGAGTTAACGAGCTGCATGATCCAGTATTTAAGGTGTAGAAGCTGTCGCCATCACAACAACCACACCCTGAGTTAACGAGCTGCATGACGCAATGTTTAAGGTGTAGAAGCTGTCGCCAACACAACAACCACACCTTGAGTTAACGAGCTGCATGACGCAATGTTTAAGATGTAGAAGCTGTCGCCAACATAACAGCAACACCCTGAGTTAATGAGCTGCGTTACCGAGTGCCAAGGAATAGTCCGAGAAGACCGGACAACTCTCCAACTGGACTGGCTAACCAGTGCAGAAAGATTTAGGAGTGATGATAAGTAGGAATCTTAAGCCAAGTAAACAATGTGTATTTGCTCGTAACAAGGCTAACAAAGTACTTGGGTTCATACAAAGGAGTGTTAGTTACAAGACTAGCGAGGTCATCCTAAAACTATATCTTGCGCTTGTGAGACCACACCTGGATTACGCAGTTCAGTTCTGGTCACCGTATTTCAGAATGGATATAGAATCCTTGGAAAGAATTCAGAGGAGAATGACAAGACTAATCCCGGGCATTAGGAACCTTGAGCACAGAGACAGGTTAAAGCATCTTAATTTGCACTCCCTTGAGAGACGTAGAGCGAGGGGCGACCTGATAGAGGTGTATAAGTGGAAGTCAGGGCTGAACAAAGGTGACATTACAAAGGTACTCAAACTATCCAACCAGGAGCGAACTCGTAACAATGGTTTTAAAGTAGACAAATTTAGATTTGGGCGCGAAATAAGTAAACATGGGTTTGGAAATAGAGTAATGGACGAATGGAACAAGTTACCAAACATCATCATTAACTCGAATACGCTGGATAGCTTAAAACATACAGTAGGTTGGATGATATGAGCAGTGGGGGTTGGGTGTAAATGGGACTGCCCAGTATGGCCCGCTGCAGTTTTCGCCATTCTTATGTTCTTTTTACCCCGGAACACGATCCGCAAATCGAGTAACATCCAGGTTCCCAATTACTGCTGGGTAGACAGAGGCAAATGGCGTAAAGAAACTTGCCCATAGATTTACCCTGCCCGGGGATCGAATATATATATATATATATATATATATATATATATATATATATATATATATATATATATACAGTACATACGTACATACATACATTTTATGTCATGATTGCTACACGTGGACGGCGGACGTCGTTTAGACAGACAGACAGACGTTAATGCGCTAACAGCTGACGGTAAGTGACAGACAAATTAGACAGTGATAAATATTAACATCGGCCATTAATATTAACTAGTATTAACATGGGGAAGTATCCAGCACGAACATCGAATTAATATTCACATAATGACGGAGACTTTAATTTAACATGATCGATAATACGTGATATTAACAGTAGAATATTATTAAAATAGAGTATTAAGGACACCGATATTCCCGCAAGTTAAAATTAACAAAATGGTAAAATTCATATAAGTCATAATTAACAATGATAATATGTATTTACCATAGCGTAAATTTAACATACTGATAATAAATAATAATAAAACTCGTTTAAGGTGAAATTAACAAGAGGTATTTACCAACGCTAACGTAAACAATATTAACAAAATATTAAATTAACAATGATAATAAAACCCAGGAAACTAAAATTAACAAAATCTAAACAATATTTACCCGTGGCTAAAAAAATTAACAATAATATTAACGGAATCTAGAATTTAACAGTGAAATTACGACGGTAAAATTAACACACACATTAAGTTAACATTATTCACGAATGTTAAAATTATATTCACCATAAATTGTGAGGTTAAATACATGGCTCTCCCATATATACACACATACACTCACCATACACACACACACATACACACACACACATACACTCACCATACACACACACACATACACTCACAATACACACACACACATACACTCACAATACACACACACACACACACTCACTATACACACACACACACACATCCATAAATATACATATACAAATATACATATACCGGTATATTAATAGATAAATATACATATATACTCATACACATATATATAGTACATACATACATGCATACACAGCTTATATGTATATTTAGTATTACAAGTCTAGCCCAGTATGGCGCCGGGTGACCGAATCAAGAATTACACACGCTCACCATTTTAACCTAACCATATATCTGTTCAACCTAACCTAACCTAACCTTTAACTCAATTATCCATTTATGCACTTGAATCTCTAAGTCAATCACCCTCTAAGTCAATCACCCTCTAAGTCAATCACCCTCTAAGTCAATCACCCTCCAAGTCAATCAATAGGATGTATAAAATCAGTGTTATTTTTAATCCGTCTCTGTAATCCAGGTTCCTAATGCCCTGGATTAAAACGTAGGTCACCTTAATTTAAATCATGTCTATGGAATATATATAGTGGTATACATCTAAATGGTTTAATACATATATATAGTGATGTATATGTATGTCACAGGTGCTTTATCGTTATGTAAACAATGGTGGAATAAATGTGTGTGTGTGAACATTGCTCTCAAGGGTTCGTTAAATATAGCTTATTGAGGTTAAGTTAACACAGATTTAACACAATCTTCGGAAGTTAACAGCGTTCTCAGGTTAATTTAACTTAATTACCGGAGGTTAACTTAACATGGTGTTCCTAAGTTGATTTAACGTAATCTCTGGGGGTTAACTTAACAGTGTTCGTAAGTTAATTTAAAACAATCTCCGGTGGTTAACAAAGTCTTCGTAGGTTAATTTAACATAATATCCGGAGGTTAACTTAACATAGCTCTCGAAGGTCAATTACACATAGTCATTAAAAGTCAAGTTAATAAAGCTTCCGGGTTTAATTTAACACAGCTTTGGGAAATTATGTTAACCTAATTATCGTCGGTTAACTAACAATAAGTAACAGAGGGAAGTTAACTTATTCTACAGAAATAACAAAATGATGGCGATAAAATTTCTCTCACTTGGGCAATATTTCCCTGCCGTCCCTCACCTGGGCAATATTTCTCTACAGTCTCTCACCTGGGCAACATTTCTCTATAATCTCTCACCTGGGCATTATTTCCCTGCCGTCTCTCACCTGGGCAATATTTCTCTACAGTCTCTCACCTGGGTAATATTTCTCTACAATCTCTCACTTGGGCATTATCAGACAGGTAAACACGTACCAATAATCAGCATTTATAATATTAAAAAAATTTCTACTGATCGGAATTTTTATTTACACTTCCAGGAGAAAAAATATAACCTATGAAATATTTTAGATGTGTGTGTTATTTATGTATGTATGTATGTATGTATGTATGGTGTAGACGGGAGAAGGTGCGATAAGAGTAGGAGAAAAATGCGGTAAAGACAAATGGTGTAATAAACTAGTAGAAATAATAGAGAGGATAAGATAATAGGCAGAATATAAGATAACACTGGTGGAGGGAGTGTGTTGTTGTTGGCGGGAGTTAGCGGTGAACAGTAAGTACACCAACAGCGGCAGCTAACGCAATCCCCGACACCACCACTACCGCCGCTACCCTCACCGCCGCTACCACACACACACACACATACCACATACCATTCTTAAAGACCTCTCTCTCTCTCTCACTCTCCTGATACCTGACACTACCACGGGCTGACACACAAGAAAAATACCCTGATCTCCTGACACCTGACACACACTGACACACGGGGTTAGGTTACCTTGGTCAGAGCGCCGCGGAGTGTTAGCCAGAGAAGCGCAGATGTTAACTGAACCAGCGGCGGCGGTCAGCGGTGAGGCTCGGCTACTAAACGTTGCCCTGGGCTAGCTAGCGTTTTAAACATCAAGAAGACTAATGACCGTCCTTCCGCCCACCTCACCCTCGCCTCTTGCTAATATTCTAACGCTAGATAGATGTTATTTACACTGGTTAACGACTATAAGGGGAGGAGAACGCCATCAACTACGGCAACAACGCGAGGTGATCACTTACCCGTGTGTGTTCTTTTGTGTATCTTAAGGTTCTCTGAGCGGGCGAACACCTTGCCACACCCCGGGAAGGGACACGGGAAGGGCTTCTCTCCCGTGTGTACCCGTATGTGGTTCACCAGCTTGTACTTGGCCTTGAAGCTGCGGCCGTTGCGGGGACAACTCTGCCAGTAGCAGGCGTGGTTGGTACACTCCGGGCCGCCCACGTGTTCCACCGTAATGTGCGTCACTATTTCGGGCATGTTGGTGAAAGTCTTGTTGCAGGGCTTCTTGGGGTTGGGCTGGTCGGGCTCCACCCACAGGCACGACAACTCCTGCTTGATGGGCTGCCGCATGTACCTGAAGAAGGCCCCAGGGGCGTGGGCGGCAGCCATGGGGTTCATGTTCATGTGGTTCATACCGGGATGAAATTGTGAACCCATCTGTTGGTGAGACCAGTCCATCCCCGCCAGTCTGTTCATGTTGTTCATGTGGCCGTGGTGGGCGTCATGCAGGCCGGGGAACATCATGGAGGAGGGATCGTGGCCCGCCAGCGTCGCCCCGAACATGGTGTGTTGGTGGTTGTTGGCCAGCTCGTGTGTACCCAACGTGCCCAGCGACGCCATGTGGTCCCGCCGGAGGAAGAGGTCCCTGGGGTAGGTGCCCATGTGCCCATGGTGCATGGTATGATGCGACATGCCATACCCATTGTTGTACTGGTTCCCCTGGGCGTGGGTCAGGCCGTCCGCGCTCATGTGATGGGTGGGCGGACTCAACTTGTGGCCCATAAGTGAACCCATGTGCCCACCATCCATAAATGGGTTCAACATTGTGCTGACAATACAACTTGTGGCTTCAAGAAACAATCACAACACTTCACTCCCCACACTCAACTGTCACACAGTGGCACTCCGTATATTACGCGCTCAAGCGTGCGACTGAGTCCGCCGGAGCGGTGCGACGCGCTACATTCACCACAGCACCTGGGCTTCGTGTGGATCCTCTACGATTCATCATTAAGGCTATACCAGCAAGACTCGCTGGGCTCCACGGGGGGTCCAGCCAGCCCACTGGTGCGCGCAGCGGGGCTCACAACACACGCCTCCTATTGGTCCTCAGGAGGGGTCCTGACCACGCCTCCAGCACCACCCCTCCTCACCCATGTCTCTTATTGGCCAGTCACAATTAGCTGGCTCCTCCCCCGCGTATCCTACCCACTCACTTGACAGAGTAAACTATGGAGGGTGGAGGCAGGAAATCCAGGAGAGGCGGAGCTAATGTTGAACTCCTGGAGAGCCGCTCAGTAGGCTGCTGGGCTGGCCAGGGGTGAGCACCGGCCCATCACGCCTCATAACACAACATTTTAACGCTTACATCACATATAAACACCTTAATATACTTGTAGTCTCGTCTTTTAAATATTAATCAGAAGATGAAGGTAAAACTTGTGAATAAGAGGAATGGTTGGAGGTGGTGAGGCGGAGGAGCGTGGAGTGTGACCCACAGGGGGGCTTGGTGACCCCTGCCATGTGACACGGGAGGGGCAGGGCGACAACATGGCAGCCCCGCGGGGCACATCACACACGATACATTGTCAGCACCACCATCCACGTCACACACTCAAATTACGCAGCGAGCGTCCCCCCCACCCCGAGGATCTTGAACCAGTGTTGATAGGGAGCAATGCTTGTTACGCCAGACCCCCCCTGGACCAGCGCCACCTGAGGACGACTCACTACAGCAGGTCTCGCCGTCAGTGCCAACCGAGCACCGTGTAATGTGGCACGAGCGGCGAGGGACCAGCGCCCCGTGGTGCCCCCCGCCCCGCTCTCGTGGGGCACGACCCAGGGCGCTCACCACGACCCAGCTACCAACCCGCACACCACAACACCCTGCAGGAACCTTGAAGCCCAACAGTGAAGGACGAGGCTTCAAGGAATGTAAATGTTTATGACACAGATGAAGCTTTAAGACCCCTGTCTTAGAGTATGTCAGACCAAAGAGGTGACGGGGAGCTACAGAGACCTGTAGACAGACCAAAGGGGTGGTGGGAGAAGGGGTGGGGAGCTACAGAGACCTGTAGACAGACCAAAGGGGGGTGAGGGGAGTTGTAGACAGACCAAAGAGGTGACGGGCTGAAGACAGACCAAAGAGGTGACGGGGAGCTGTAGACAGACCAAAGAGGTGAGGGGAGCTACAGAGACTGTAGACAGACCAAAGGGTGGTGACAGGAGCTGTAGACAGACCAAAGGGGGTGAGGGAGCCGAGACAAACAGACCAAAGGTGACGGGGAGTTACAGAGTCCATAGACAGACCAAAAGGGGTAAAATCAAGACCACAGAGACCAATTTATAGATCAAGGGTAAAGTTAAGACTACAGTGGGTAAATCCAGGAGTCTAAAAGCATCGTGTTATTGAAGGGTACAAAGAGACTCAGCACCATAAGGCAAGGGGGTACTGGTGACCCAGGAGTCTTCAAGATTACCAATAAGATTCGAACCATTTAATCACCAATCCCATGTCAGGTTTTTAGTCTAAACACAACATCACAGTGTAGTAAATGACTGTATAAAGTGCTAAGACAACGGGTAGAAATGATCCATACATTCTTGTTCATAGCCTCGGTTTATACACATACACACACACACACGTATGTATTTTTGTTTATTTTTATGCATGTGTGTGTGAGTGTAGGTATACTTTCGTGTACGTTTGTGTTTGTTTGTTTGTGTGTGTTTGTTGTGTCATTCACTTTATTACAAAAGACAAGAAATAAAGAGACTGGGAAAGAAATTAGAGCGTTAAAAAGAAGAAGGAGGAGGAGGAATAGGAGGAGGAGGAGAAGAAGAAGGAGGAGGAGACAGTGCTTCACTTTAAGTACTAATAATTTGTATAATTACCTGATTAACACCTTAACCTCTCTCTCACCTGTGTCCTCCTTTCTCTCTCTCTCTTCTCTCTACACACACCCAGCCACAACACACCCCGATCTCACACACCTGTACACACACTCACCCCCACACTACCAGCCCTCACCCCCTCCTCACCACTCTCCCTACCCACACTACCTGCCCACACTACCCCCCACACACTTCTCCTCACCCACTCTTGAGTCAGAACTTCATCTCTATTGGTTGTATTAAACAGAGGTGAGGTAAAACTTCGATAGTTCCTTCCAAGACGCTTTGTGGTGAAGGAGGAGGATAGGAGGAGGTAGGGAGGAGGAGAGGAGGTAGGGAAGGAAGGAGGGGGAAAGAGGAGAGAAGGAAGGTAGGAGGGAGAAAAGAAAGAGGTAGGGAGGAAGAGAAAAGGGAGGGAGAGAAAGAGGGAGGGAGAGAAGATAGGGAAGGAAGGAGGTGGGGAAAGAGGGAGAGAAGGAGGTAGGGAGGGAAAGAAGGAGGACCATTGTGGGGTGTGAGAGGCGGTCGCGAGAGAACCATTGTGAAGGACAGGAGTCGCGGTCCAACTGTACCATTGTAGACGACCCGTAGCTAAACCGATCATCATCACCTTTATACCTGCGGGACTTTCTCTGTCT